CATCAAAGTTAGGCATACTTTTATCTTTTGTTATGGCTTTGCGCAGGTCTCTTGATCTAAGAGAACGCAAGAGGGAAAACTAAGTTACTCCAGTCTGTGTCACTTGGTTCCTCAGCCCAGCTGCCAGAGGGCAATATTTCAACTGAAAGAGGACTAGCTTGCTTTCACTTCTAAAGCTTGAGCTTTCTTGAAAATCAATGGCCAGGATATCCCCTTTGAAGTTTGTAAATTTTAAAGCTCCGAAACCAAACCATTTAAAGGTATTCTCCGGACTATAAACCATTCTTCCAAATGTCTAAATTAGAGATGGCTTCGGATGGGTGTATATATAATCATGCATGTACATTTGTAACGTGTCCTTTTCTGGTTTGGATGGATGATCTCAAATTCAAGATATCTTCCTTCTAAGTTCAATTCAGTAATCTTGAAATGCCTAGACACCCAGCAGTCCTTCTATTTTTAGAACAGCCAATACAAAACATTGATAATACCGATTACAGATAGTCCTCGGCTTATAACCATTCGTTTAACAACCAAAATTATGGCGGTGCTGAAAAAAAGGTGACGTCCGACCAGTCTTAATACATACGGCTGTCGCCGCGTCCCTGTGGTCACATGATCAAAATTTGGGCACCTGGTTAGCATGTATTTATGATGGTTGCAATGTCCCAAGAGCCACAGCATTGCTATTTGTGACCTTTCCAGCTGGGCTTTCAACAAGCAAAATCCATGAGGCAACTAGGATTCATTTAACTACCATTCGATTCACTTAACGACTGTGACAAAAAAGCCTGTAAAATTGCATCGCTTAATGATGGAAGTTCCGGTCTCAAATGTGGTCATAAGTTGAAGACAATCTATAATTAATAACTGATTCGCTATAACATGTCCCCATAATTCAGGGGAGATTGTCAAAAGATCCATTCCTTACTAGATTCCAACATCTGAGGTAACGTCAGCTCTTCTTCACATTTACTCTGGCAATATCTTTTTAAGAATCGGGCATTTTAAACACTTCACAAAAATTGGAAGCCTACTTGTTAAATCGATGGATTGACTCAAGTAGTTGAAGGCGCCGGGCGATGAGATCGTCCGTTGTCTCAGGAGTCTTAAAACTGACTGTAGATTTAAAGTACAAAATTCATGAAATGGGCAGTATTCTCCAGCACTTGAACTAGGCAATCCTCCATTAAAATGAACAGCATAATCTGCTTTTTTGACAAGCTAAAGAAAGGCCTGAGTAGGTTCAGCATCATGGTGACAGTGCACCTTGTAACGCTGAATGGATTATGGATGGATCAGTACTTCAGGCAGAATGACATCTGGAATAGACTATAGAATTTTAGGCAAGCAAGTACAGGATGCGTTTGGATGCTCACTTTTCCAAATAATAAAACTTCCATTGCATATAAAAAACAAAGTACAGTTAGTCCTCGTTTAGCGACTACAATTGGGACCAGTGACTTGGTCATTAAATGAAGCAGCTGCTAAGTGAAACTATAACTTGTGCTTAATCATCTTCAGCTTTCTTTTGCTTCAGACCTGCAGCGGTCATAATGCAAAGACAGTTACTTCATCACTGTCGTAACTGCAAATGATTGTTAAAAGAGTCAGTCACTAAACAAGGACTATCTGTAGAGGTTTCTCACCACTATGTTTGTCTGCAGCTGTAGGTACATGTGCAGGCACGGAGATCGCTCCTATGGGAAACAGTTTTAAATACAGCAACTCTGCTTAATTGTCTCACATAGACCAAAGAATCGTCAATGATACTGCCAGCTTTGCCATTTGCATTTTGTTAGGTGCAAGCTGAAAGCAATGCCAGGTGGAAAGAAAGTTTTGTGCAGAAATCACAACAATCAAGGGGCAGTCTACCTTGAAATAGGACCCCGGACAAGAACAGCTGTATAAAGATTGTAACGTGAGTTTTCTACAAGGCTCTTCCTGGCTATGTAAGAGAGGGTTCACCGGAATAAATGGACTTTCAATCTGATTTACAGCCAAGGATTAAGGAGGACCAATTCCTTAAATGCACCAACCAGGGGTAGAGACCAATTTGCAGGATGACTGAGGGTGGGCAGTTGTTCTTATTCTGAGTAACGAAAGCAAGTGACATGCAATTTGCAGTCTATGTTTTCGCAAGCCAGTGGTGAAAAGAAAGGTAAATCTTCACCCATTTTCATTTCTAGATTCTCAGAGTGGGTGTCGTTTTAAAGCTACGAATCATTAACCCACAGGTAAATGACCTTGCTTACATAATGGGAAAATAAAAAAGGTTAGTTTTTCTAGAGCCAAGTTCACCCTTGGTCTTGGCACAATCTCCACTACTTAACATCTCAGCATTACTACACTATTCAACAACTCAGCATTAAGCAAAAAAATAAGCTTGAGGGCACAGATTAGTATCAGCAAAAGATCCAAAATCACTGCTGTTCACTTCTGTTTCAAAGTAATAGCCAGCCTTATTGGATTGCACCCACTTAAACGGTATCATTTGCAAAAACTCCAGCAACAGCCAGGCAAACACTGACCACTAGTTACCCTCTCTCTCTCACACTCACACACACACACACACACACGTAGAAACATACCGGCAAAGAGAGAAGATACTTTCATTTGTTCAGCAATCAAAACAATATCCCTGTGTTCTAGCTGCTTTGGAGGACTGTCTTATTCTCAATAAGCTTTCACTAGTCACAATGGAGCACTCACTTTTTTTCCTGATCTTCCGCGTTATGCGAGCTTTGCAGAGCGTCTGTCCGTCCTCCTCGGAGGATGCTGCAGCCTGAAGAAGCTTGAGGAGGTCTGAATTCTTTAAACAGGGTGGAAGAGAGAGGATAAACTGGAGGATTTGCTCTTATTAAAAAGATTACTGAATCCCACTGGTGTTGCACATGTCACCCAACCGTACCATCTTGAGATTAAACTGAAACCCATTGTTTCATCTTTAAATCAGATATGCTGTATTAATGCAGAAGAGGAAAAGACTTCACTGAGGGAAGAAAGACCAGGTTTGCAGGCAAGAAGCCCCCCCAGATTCAATGCTCAGCATCTCCAAGCAGACCTGGCTTATGGGATGAACTGGTGGTTCCCGATTTACTGATTAGGCCACAATGGATTGACTTTGTGGGACATACGTATCAACTGTGGTTTAAAAACTGCGGCACGAGGGATCGCACGACCAAGACCTGAATCGAGCATAAAGTGCAACCCAGTCATCCTAAGCAATACTGAAACAACGGCCTGGTTTGGATTAGGACATTTTTGTCTGCACAGATAGTCCTCACTTAAGGATCCATACTTGGGATTGGTGTCTTCATTAAGCTAAGAAGTCGTAAAGCATAATGTCAGATGACTAGCTGCTTGGCAACAGCAATTCTGGTAGTTCTGGTTACCATCCTTAAATAAATCGTCGGTTGTTAAGCAAGGATTTCTTGTGACTTCAATTTCCTGCTGGTTTCCACACTGATTTGGCTCATGGGAAGCCAGCAGGAAGGATAGCAAATCGCAATTACATGACTGTGGACACTGATGGCCGGAAATCCAGGCTGGTTGCCAAGCACCCAGATCACGATCACATGATCCCGAGGGCACTACAAGAGCAGAACTTCAAGGATTGGTTGGGAAACATGTTGTGAGCCCTATAAAGATTTAAGCATTTCTTGGCATATATAATGATTCTGAGACTTCATGCGCCACTTACAGGTTCAGCGTAGTCAAGAGGGGTGCATTGCCTGTTGTTCCTAAGGTACACCAATGCGCCATGCTGCAGCAGCAACTGAACCACTGCTTCGTAATTTCCTATCACCGCTTTGTGAAGAGGTGTGTTGCCTTGGTTATTGGGAAGGTTAACGGAGGCTCCATGCTGGAAAAGCAAAAACAGGAAAGGAGAAAACAAACTTCTTTTAAGAAGCCGTGCTTGCAAATTTCAAAGCCTTCTGATTTCAATTGATTCACTCATGGACAACATAGTTTAATCTGCGAGGACCCTGCAAAAAGAATTCAAAGAAAATAATATACATAAGACTTTCTTGGTAGGAGTATTCAAGAGGCCGTACGGGTCTGGATGGGGAGGAACAGACTCAGGCTCAACCCTTCCAAGACCGAGTGGCTGTGGTTGCCGGCGCCTCGGCATAGTCAGCTGACTCCATCGCTGACTATAGGGGGTGAAATTTTGGCCCCCTCAGAGAGGGCACGCAACTTGGGTGTCCTCCTGGATCCACGGCTGACATTGGAAGATCATTTGT